CCTAAGGAAATATACATGAAATATATCTTTGTTATTTGATATAGCCATTTTAAAAACTTCCTGAGATAAAAAAAATTATAAGATATTACTAATTCAGAAGTCAAACAACAAAAATCAGCGTTATATTTACAAAATTTTCACAGGACTAGTTTCGATGGTTTTACCGAACATCATCTTCAGCTGCAAAACCGCAATGAACAAGATAGAAATAATGATTGATAAGATAAGAAAGCCTGACAAGAATAAGCAATGGCCCCATTGTTGGCGAAACCAAACTAAAACAAATTTCTCTAAAAGCCGAAGGCAAATTTGGATTGGAATTAGGATCGTTAACTAGAACAGAAAGATTTTTATGAATGTGAAAATGCCTCTAGAAAATCCAGTTCTCCAATGGAAGATGTTTTTTGAATAATTTTGGCAGCAGAAAAATTGAAAAGTTTTCGGACCAACAATGTTGAGCAACAGAAGATCTGTGTTTCCTTTTTTCTAACATATGCCTCATGTTCTTGACGCGAAATTTTAAGGCTCTCTTAGTTTGGCCAATGTAAATTAAACCACACTGGCAAGGAATCCTATAAATACCCCAGGAATTCATATCCGGAATGGGGTCCTTGAGTATAGAAGTTGGAATTTTATTGATGGGAGAATAAACAACCCGAAAGTTAAATTTCTGCAAAATATGTGCAACTTATAGCTAATTGATGGAAAGAAAGAATGACAACAGAATTTTTATAATCTCCTAAAATAAGAGTGTGGCTTTTAGTGTGTTTGAGATGGAAAATTTTTTAACTGCTTGATTAATAATGTTGGGTGAAAAGCCCCTGTCAATAGCTATTGCTTTTAAATAATTTAGTTCTTCATCAAAGGCTATTTGGAGGAGCAAACTTGAAGAGCACGGAAAACATAGGAATAAATGAAGCTAACTTTTGTTTAGTCGGATGACATGATTTAAAGTGTGGTGGAAGGCAAACCGATGAAGGTTTACGGTAAACCGTCGTACTGAATTGGATGTGTTACGTGTGACCAGAATGTCGATAAACGGAAGAGAATTGCAAGTCTCAAGTTCAAAAGTGAACTGAATAGCAGATCAATAGAATTCATTGTTGAAAGAACTTTATTTAAATCATCTTTATTACCTTCAAACAGGGTAAAAGTATCGTCTACGTAGCGGAACCATGCCGGGAAGTTTAAAGTTTCAAACATTTTGATTCATAATATGCATGTAGATATCAGCCAGGATGGGACTGAGGGGGCTTCCCATGGCTAATCCCTCAGTTGTTTGTAATATTTATTTTGGAAAACAAATGTGTTTGTTTCAAACAGAGTTGAGTGAGAGAAATTAGCTCATCAATTTCGATGCAAGAGAAATGAAATTCGCGAAGTCTGGTTTCTAGACATCTTAATGCACCCTTCCACTGGGACATTGGTGAATAATGATTTACATCAAAAGAAACCATGAGTAAATTACTAGGAGAAATGTTTTAACCTTATTTACAAACTCTATTGAATTTTTTATGGTGTAAATGTATTGTCTAATAGAGTGGAAAATCTAGAAACTAAATATTTAGCTAATGGATACGAGGCAGTACCTAAATTTGATACAATAGGGCGGAAAGGAATACCACTTTTATGAATTTTGGGAAGAGCATATAATCTGGCACAATTCGCAACAGATGGGAAAAGCGAATGTTTTAAGTTGCTTGAAATGATTTGCGAAGATTTGATCGCAGTTTTTATTTTGGATAAGTCCGAAGGTTTTGGATAAGGGATACACGTCAACAATTGTCCAAAATTGAACATGAACTCTATAAGCTTCATCTGGAACTCGCTAAATCATATCCAAAATTCACTGCTCTTGAACAAAAGTCTTGGTCTAGAACGGAGAATGCAGTTAACCGTCATAAAAACACCCTTGCAGTTAAATTCGAAAAACTTCTTTTACAGTCTTCCAGTTCAAGTAGTTCAAAAAATCTTCCCATTGTAAACATCAAGCCAATAGTTAATATTTCTAATGTTAGTCTTTCAGAAGAACAAGAGAGAATTCTAAACATATAATTTTAACTTCTCACAAACCTGTAAACCCTCGATTCCAAAGATTTTGGCTCCTATCGAAAAGCTTTCAAGTTCAGTTAAAGTTTCAGATTCACAAAAAGAATGATTAGGCATCTTATCGCTCATAATGTGAAATTCAATAATAACCTTTGAAACCAAATCTAACTGCGAGAGAAAGAGCTACAATGCGTGAAATTCATTCTAACCCCGATATTATCATTTCAAAGGCCGACAGGTGGCCAGATAGTCGTCATGGATAAGAAACTTACATCGATGGTGTCACTAAACTCTTAAACGAAGGCCATATAATCCGATCCCTAAAGATCCTTCACCTTCGGACTTATCCAAAATAAAAACTGCGATCAAATCTTCGCAATCATTTCAAGCAACTTAAAACATTCGCTTATCCCATCTGTTGCGAATGTGCCAGATTATATATCTTCCCAAAATTCATAAAAGTGTATTCCTTTCCGCCCTATTGTATCAAATTTAGGTACTGCCTCGTATCCATTAGCTAAATTTAGTTTCTAGATTTTCCACTCTATTAGACAATAACATTTACACCATAAAAATTCATAGAGTTTGTAAAAAAGGGTTAAAAACATTTCTCCTAGTAATTTACTCATGGTTTTTTGATGTAAATCATTATTCACCAATGTCCCAGTGGAGGGTGCATTAAGATGTCTAGAAACCAGACTTCGCGAATTTCATTTCTCTTGCATCGAATTGATGAGCTATTTCTCTCACTCAACTCTGTTTGAAACAAACACATTTTGTTTTCCAAAATAAATATTACAAGCAAACTGAGGGATTAGCCATGGGAAGCCCCCCTCAGTCCCATCCTGGCTGATATCTACATGCATTATTATGAATCAAATTGTTTGAAACTTTAACTTCCCGGCATGGTTCCGCTACGTAGACGATACTTTTACCCCTGTTGAAGGTAATAAAGATGATTTAAATAAAGTTCTTTCAACAATGAATTCTATTGATCCTGCTATTCAGTTCACTTTTGAACTTGAGACTTGCAATTCTCTTCCGTTTCTCGACATTCTGGTCACACGTCACAGTCATTGCTGCGGATAGTTAAATTACATACCGTGTCCACGGAAATTCTTACAGGCAAATATTTGTGCAACCGTTGGTCGCAGTACCATATACTTCCAATTACAAAAATGCTTTAAATGGCACAAATACTTATGATTTGCCATAAATTTGAATAAATTTAAAGAAATCAAGTTTGTAAACATTACAAAGTCTAACTTATTATACGTTCCATCCTATCCCTATACTTATATTCAGAAAAATTTTGTAGTCGCTATAAAAAATAAAACACAAAAAGTTTGACTCCCGTGCCGCAAAAATTGACCGAAATATTTAATTTCAAAATTTAAAATTTGCTATTTTTGACGTCATATTCTATTTGCATTGAATGGTCAGTTGATAAATAAATTAAAATAAGTCGACTTTGAGTTTTTCCCCGCTTAAATGCCCTTCATTGATACTGTGATTTGCTAGTGTCTTTAATTAATATTTTGTTATGTTTGTTACACCAAAAAAGTTTTATCAAAAGTAATTTATAAGTTTTCAAAGTTTAGAAATATGTTATTAATATTCTCATGACGTTTTATTACTTTAGACTCGTAGTAATCTGGTTATCGTAAAAATGCATAAAACTGCAAACATTTTCACTTTTTAATTAATGCAAATAATATTACGAGTTGGCTACGTGCAAATACTGAAATGCCAGTGAACAGAGCCGGGACAAGGGTGAGGCAAGTGAGGCACTTGCCTCAGGTGAATCACTAGGAGGGGCGCCAAACTCGCCATAAGAATTCGAAAATTACTTTAATTATGTTTTTAAATTTGTCAGTTATTATTAGGGGAAAAAAGCTTCAGCAAACTTAAATTAATAAAACAATAGGAAGAATTGCAAGAAAAATCTGGAAATTAATGCAATGTGCATTTCCATGTTATTTTTAATTTATCAAAAAAGAATTTTTAAACATTTCCTTTTGAAAGTTATAAATAATTGGCTGTTTTATTTTTATGACTTTATTAAAAACGATTAAAAAGTACTTTAAGAATTATGGTATAATTATGCTATAATATTTATGATATTTTGATTTAATGCATTTAAACCCAGGGGCGCAAACAGCCCTAATGGGCCAAGGCCTGCAGTGCCCCGAAATCTGCTTTCTTGACCGTGGGCCCCGGGGTGCGTAAGCATATGCCCTGAAAAGTAGTCAGCTTGTCGCAGGACCCGTGTTTAGTCCCCAAGCTAACTTGGTACTCATTTTATCGACTCAAGAGATGGAAATCGAGGGATGAAAGGCTGAGTCGACCTTGCCCAGCCCTGGATTCGAACCCCGGACCTGTGGTGCTGCTGAGAGACGCGCTAGCCACTACGCCACCGTGCCTTTTTAATACATTTACTTTTGTTTAATATAAATATAGTTATTTTGATATATATATAGAGAGAGATATATAGAGAGAGATAGATAGGGGCGCAAATTTACCTTTTTGCCTCAGGTGAAAAAATATCTTGGCACGGCTCTGCCAGTGAATACTGCCAGTATATTCTAGAAAACGAATTCTCTAAAATTCTATGAATAGGATCACCATTTTGAAAAAAATTATATTGATCAGTACTTTTCACAGTAAATCGTCGTCACTTAATCTCTTATTATCAAAAGCCTTTTTCTAAACTGACATTTTATTTTGAATTACTATACGTGCAAATATTTCTGTCTTCAATTTATGTACTGCCCCTTAATATGATCCGACTTTAGTTCCAAATATCTCAGTTAATCTTTGTCGTACGGAAATCAACCATTTTGTGTGTTACTTTTTATAACTTTCCTAAATATAAGTATAGGGATCGGAGGATTGCTGAAAAAGTTAGATTTCATAAATTTTACAAATCTGATTTCTTTAAAAATGTCAAAACATGATTTTTTTTCTTCTTTTAAAACATTTTTGCAATTTGAAGTATAGGTCTACGATCAGCGGCTGTGGAAATAAAGGCAGGGTACGGGCTTTTGTGGACACAGTGTATGTAGGTAGGTATATGAAAAATTAAATTCAGTACTATCATATTAAGACATTTTATCTTCATAATCGGTTAGCCTTTTAACAGCCTTTTTTACTTAACATTTTCTTAAGACGTTTATGTAATGACAAAATAAGAGAAGTTAAGAAGAAAGCTCGAAAAGGGTTAAATTACAGAATCTATTGATAATGACCTTAGTATTGTAACAATCTTTCGCTGCTGTTCAGCTATAACTTATTGACAGGGATTAAAATTTAAATGGTGTGTGAAATTAATTATCAAAACGAAAAGAAGGGATATTTCCAGGAGTAAAAGAATTTACTTTCAGCAGCACTTTATATAAACCTAAATTTTGACAAAAGCCATATCTTGACTAAATCTAAAGTTTTTTAATTGACGGTTACTATTTGACTTTTAAGTTGCAATAACTTTATTAGTTTTAGTAGAAACCCAAGAGATGTTTGACTGAGTCTAAATTTCTAAACTGACTTAATTTTGCAACACTTTTTGCATATATTTAGACTTTAAATATCATCCAAAAGTAGATGTCCAAAGGGACAAAGTCAAATTAAGGGTTAAAAGATCTTTTATAATATTATTAAGATGTGGTGTTATTAAAAATTCGGAATTAGTATCCAGCCTAACTACAATTACTTAATAATAAACTACAGTTTGGCTATGGCGTAGTATTACATGTTACCTGTAATTCTTTGATTGAATGTGAGGATCATATAAAGTACGCAATTTATTTAAAATAGTATAAACTAATTATATGTAAATTGTTACTGCTTTGAATTCCATTAGCATTTATCTCTGAAATTATCAATTATCATAAACAATCAACAGTTCATTGTTATTCGTTTATTCTTTCCGTTGTTACTTTAGCATTGTGTCGTGACAATTAAAAAAGCAACTTCCGCGAACTAGTTACGTGTCATATGTTAATCCACTTGCATGAAAAAGTATTGCCAATTAGTACGTTTTGTCCAATTTCTCTGTTATCTCCAAGTAAAATGTGTTTGTTGACTTGATTTAACTTCGGACAATGGTGTTTAGAACTTAAGTATTTAGCTAAACATTTGTCTTAGTATGATGAGTTAAAACTGATACATCTTGCCCTCTCTTTCTTAGCTCGTGGATTACAACGTTTTTTTCTGAAATTCTCCTAAACACTAAGAATGGTAACATATAGTAATATTTTTCTTAAATTACCAAGTTTGGCTCATAAGGTATACTGCTCTCGGGATAATTTAAGTAATTAGGCAAATATTTTAGGATTATATTGTAATTTCGTTTTTCTTCAATGAAGCGCTCAGAGCATGCATCTCCATCTACTGAAGCAGTTTTCGTTGCTCCAAAATAGAATAAAATTTTCAGTTTCCACTCTATTTGTTAATATATTCCCTAACGTGGTATTTCTAGTGGTATATATTTTAATATCCTTTAATCATCATCATGAAAGGCCCGGCAGCCCATTGTGGACCAGCGCCTTCTTTAGAACGCTTATCCAAGATATTTCTACTTTCGGCTAGAATTATCCAGTTTTGAATATTTATTTATGCTTTTAAGATCATTTTTTATCATTCCTTTAGCCATCTAAATCTGTTTTATATTCAGTAACTTGTTCCAGTAACATTAAAATTCTTTGCTATTACATTAAGGTAATGTATTCCATGTGATATTCTATCAAATATACAATTATGATTGGCAAAGGAAAATAAATTCTTTCCTTTTTTACCTAGAACAACTAAATATGGAAAAGAAAAAGGCTATAAAAGTTGCAGTGGTCGGAGGAGGAGTCTGTGGAATATGTTGTATAAAGTGTCTGAAGGAAGAAGGTATAGAAGGCGTATGTTTTGAAAAGACTCAATTTAGTGGAGGCACTTGGAGATACCATGAAGATGATGTTGAAGGTAAGTATTGTTATACAAGTCTCAATATTTATTCCCTCAAGAGTGATTCATAAATGGCCTTAGCTTTACAGAAACTCTGGTTGCTTCCAACAAACTGCTAGCTCCAAAATCCTCTCTTGTCAAACTCTGGTAGCTTCGTCCGGAGGAGGTGGATGGTGTTGCGCAGGCGCAAATAAGAAAACCTCCGCCTTCTAAAGGGCTCCCGATCATTAATTGTCTTTTTATAGTTAACATAACCTACGTTTAAAGAGAGTGTGCCGGAAGTATAGGTTAGAGTGAACCTTTCGTTCCATGTTCGCCACTGGTTTTGTCCGAGTTTTGCCATTAAACGAATTGTTAGTAAAAGCGTTTTGTAGTTTTTTTCTATATATGAAATAAATGCCAGCCTCATAGGTTGTTTGGAATGTTTTCAGCGAAAGCAATATTCGTGAAAGTTTGTTAGTTTATTGGTCATTTGAATATGGAAAAACATAATGGCAGATTAATGAAGGACTTTAAAAGAGAAACTGGCTCTTTCTACTTTACACATGGAAAATAACCAGCTCATTCGCTGTAATACGATGTAGAGACATTAGGTATTTTCTGAGACTGGAAAGATGGGAAATGAGCAACGCCTTTGCCAGGAATCGAACCACGGACCTCTGGAATATGCAAGAAATACCTTATAATGAACCCAGATCGAATAACCAGTGTTCAGCAGTTTTAACAACTAGGCCGTTAGTGGGCTTTCTTGAGAGTTAAAGAGGTCTCCAGACTTTGCCATAATTAACTAATCTAGCAGTCTTTCCTCAGGAACTTCTTCATAAACATAGATACAACTGCGACAAAATGTTTTAAATATTCAGTATATTTATACTGAATTTACATTGAATAAGTATCTTGAAACTATAGTCTTCACTTCCAGCCATTTATCCAAATCTACTTTTAGCAAATTCCAGCCATTTATACAAATCCACTATTTAGCAAGTATCTTGTAAAGATCATAAGGATTTTTGAAAGCAGGAACCGTCATAAATTAATTGTCCAGTAGAGGGATTCACACCTCGTATCTTCTCCACGTTTTCTCGATGTACTATTTACACCACAAGAGCACGCATGTGGGAATGTTTAATTTCTTATAGGTTTCCCCGCGACAATCGACGGGCGAGAATTACGAGATCCAGTCGTCTACTTCCAGTTAGTGACGAATTATCGTTCACCATATTGCTAATTCAAGCGCTACTTGTAAAGTCTTAAGTTTTTTGGAAGCAGAAAACACGATAAATTACTTGGACCTTCGCGAGAATTCGAACCATGGATCTCCCATTTGCTAGCTTAATGTACTTTCCACTTACACTATACCTACAAGGCAGATGAAGTTTGATAACTCCTTATAACTTTTACAATAACTGACCGTCACTAAATAACAGATTATACAGATTAAAATACTAGCAGAATCATGCTTACTGTATACTATCAATTGCAACGATAATTGTTTGAAAGTTTCTTACAGACTGTAACTACATTTTCCAATTCCGCACTCCTTTTTCTGAGTATTTAATAAAACTTCTGAATGTGAGCGCTATGAAATACTAGAATTAGGTCTTTATAAATCTCATACTTATGTGACTTCCACAAAACTGTTTGTACATTTTATTCGATTATTTTTAAAAGCCAGATTATTTATAAATAGACTATTATTAACTAGCTTATTAGATTACTTTTAAAGTAAAGATTGTGTTTATTTAATTTAGATTTCATATTACATAGCAAAAACTGTAGACCTAGCTGTATATGTAAACTCATTACAGCTCTTTAACGTTAATTGTATAAAAGTAATTTTAAAAATATACTGTATTTCAAAATTTAAAATTTCTAAAATAAAAAAACTACCAGCCTAATAAAATAGAGCATTACACATAAAAATAATACACTCTTGTACTGCTTTTGTATACGTCTCGCTTGCTGCTCGAGATTGAACTACTAGGCAATTTCCTTTTCTCGTTGGTGCTAAACCCCTTCTTATATCATCTTTCGAATGTGACAGATGTAGCTCTAGTGTTTCTTTCAGAAAGGGAAAATAAAATGCATTTGGAAATGTTTATTTCATTAGAACACCTTAACCTGTCAGGTATTTTCTCTCTACTTACCTCTTGCCTTCGTAGTATTATTTTAAACTATGTCCGGCTAGCAACGGAAGGTCCTGAGTTCGAATCCTGGCCAAGACATTGCATATTTTTCACGTCACCCATTCGAAAATAAAATTTTCAGTAGCCTTTACAAACCTCTCAAAATTATCAAAATTACTTGGCAGAACTTAAGAGCACTGTATTAAAATATAACTTAAAATAAATGTATATGTAACTGATATAGTGTTTATGTTATTAAATCTAAACCAGACAAAGACAAATTTCTATCCATAGTGTTGCGAAATACCCAGCTGTGGTAAAATAGCGTTCCCGGTTTGAACCCTGTTTTTATTAGTCCGTTGCGAAAGCGAAGCATCATTGGGAGAAAGCATGGAGGTAAGAAATTGGGAGAAACCATGGAGGTCTTACTTCCTACCCTCCATGGGAGAAACGCAGACGGACGACCGTTTTTTCACTATTGCTTTGGATTTATTGCGTACGGAAGTTCGGTGGTCAATTGCATTCATTGCCACCAGATGTCTCTGTATTTAACTTACGGGATCCGGACTCTTAAGATACTTAAATTCGATGTTATTGGAAATTTTTATTTCTGCTTATGAACTGTTAAAGTAAAACACGTTAGCAATTTTTAGATAAGCAAGATTATAATGCATATTGGGAACATCTCTAATTGCAAAGAAGCTGAAGTAATTTTTAAAAATTTCTTTGCGTTTCTAGAAGCCTTAAATATTAATGAAATAATACATAATGAAAACTAAAATGTACTGTTACTGCAAAACAAATAAAAATACCAAAAACAGAGTACTGTAAAGAAGGGTTCACAATATTTACACAAAATTTGCTATGCTTGTATACGCTGACTGCCTCGTGAGGACTGAATTTTAAAACAATCTATAATAATTTTTTTAATGTTTTATTAAAAATTATAGGGCATTAATACTGTCTCATGTTAATTGGTAGTGAAAGTATATATATGTATATATAGGGAGTAGGTTTCAAATTCGTATAATATTATAACCTTTAAAATAAATTCTTGCAGAGAACATTTAATTAAATAAGAGCATAAATAAAACATTATATTTAATGCACATAATACTGGAAAGAAATTATAAAACACAAATAAAAATCAAATTTGGAGACGGAGATAAGAAAGCTGAAAACAGAGTGTTGTTATTTCAGTGTGCTATCGACTAAAAGATCCACCAGAGTTTGTTCTTCAACTTGTAGGGTATTTCATACAAAAACATGATTTTAAAGTGGCGTTCCGATTGAAATCAGACGGACTGCTAAAAATATATTCCAAGTGAAAGATGTGCTTACAAATATGTGTTAGCCAAAAAGGTATATTTATGAATAGAGAAATACAAATTTAACGTACTTTTAATGCAGTAGAATATTTAAAAGGTTATCAGATTTAATTTATAAATAACGTTATTTGTTTTTACCTGTTTCAAAAGAAAAAAAAAAAATCTTTTAATGCCTTATCTAATTTGCTATAGCAGTTTGATATAGTCAGACGTTCACTTTCATTAAAAGCAAATGTGTATGCAGAACTAGAAAATAATTTTCAGGATAAATTTTGCTATTTCATGGACTTGGAATTATACTTTTTGCACCAGATTTTCTTGACAGTAGTCACTGCTCTCTGTGAATTAGTACTATAGTTGCAGTTATATTATTTTTCTTTTCGATTTTTTAACTAAATTCCGTTGATTGCTGTCTTTTTCAGTACGCAGATTTCTCGCTATAATGTTCTTTCCCTGATCCAGCGTTCATCGCTACTTCTGTCGCCATTAATTTTTCGTGACTACACCTAATTGCTCCTTTTTTACCACGGGACCCCAACTCTTCCGCAAACGTACGGATAGAAGTTGAACATTGTTGAACTTCATCCGTGCGTCGTCCGCCACCGCAGACCGACCGGTTTGCGGATGTCAATCCAAATGAATTCGCTCGTTGATTGGTGAAACGCATACGAAACGCTTTAATAACGTAGTAGTGGCAACAGTCCTTTAGGGTTTAGGGGTGCCAGAAAAAGGCAAAGAAATGCAGGATTTCCAGATATGGCGCAAAATCGCCCATTTGTCAATATTTGGCGACAAAATTGCCGTTATACCATAGACGGAGCGAGAACATTCTAGAACGAATTCTTACAGATTTGCCCCAGAATGTTCTCGAAGGTAGGTCAAAAGTAATATAAACTCCACTTGTACGCGAAGTAGCAGTTTATTATGAGTGTATTCTGAGATTTATCATGAAAAGTATTTTGAGTCCTTTAAGTTAAGAGATTAGCTTGAGACCGATCGACAGAGTCGGAATCTGTACTTTAGTGCTTTGCCGTGAAGCTAGCTTCACCGTTGTAGCCTGAAGGCTGTGTTGCTGATTGTTTCAGCGTGTTTAACATAGTCTTTTTGACGACTGTAAAATTGTTTTTGAACTTTGCTGAGTAATACTGTCGAATAAATTGTGTTTTGATTCTGCATCAAGCGTTGTCATCAATCACTCTAAGTTCGCGAAATCGTAGAACACAACATTTGTATCAGGGAGGGGGGGTAAACCAGTAAGAATTAGTTCTAGAATGTTCTCGCCCCGTCTATAGTATATCGCCAATTTTGTAGCCAAACGAGCGACTTCCCGCCAAACCTGGTAACCCTGCCCTTCTTTGTCGTTTTCTGGCAACCCTAAACCCGCTTTGCGGGCAAGCTATCTTACCGCAGTTGGGAATTTCGTAACAATATAAAATATACAGAAAATATAGTATTTATATGACAGTAGTCATATATATATATAAAGTAAAGAGCATTTCAAAACTTAATTCATTTGAGCACTAACAGCAGTAACAAGTGGTGGTAATAATGGAAAATAAATACGGGTTACACTGATAAAGATACAGATTGCTTTGATTATTTTTTTGAGATTATTTTAAGTATTAAACTCTAATTTTTAATTTGTGTTTTTGTTAGTTCATAAACAGGCTAATGTATTTATTTCTTTCGTTATGCCAAACCTTCGATGACGATGCAGCGAAGAGTATAAATTACTAAAATGGTTTGTTCCGAATTGAATGTGGAATGTATTTTAAACTTATTAATTTAATTTGTTTTTCATTTTATATATATATATATATAGACGTTCTATGATTTTATGAAATGATATATAATGAGTTCTATATATCACGCACTTTTCTATAGGTCTGGCGTCCGTGACATCCTGCACAGTGGCTAACAACAGCAAGGAAATGTCAGCCCTGAGTGATTATCCTCCGCCTACAGATAACCCAAACTATCTAACTCATAAGAGAATCTATAAATTGATTCAAGACTATGCAAACCATTTTGACGTCCTCCGACACATGAAATTTAATCACGAAGTTATTAGTGTTCGGCAGGCGGAAGATTATGATGTAACTGGCAAATGGATCGTTAAAGTAAAAGATTTGGTGGCAAATAAAGTTTCCACGGATACTTATGATGCGGTGATGATTTGTTCTGGACAGTTTGGATATCCCAAAATGCCCCACTTTCCTGATCAAGAAAAGTTCAAAGGTCGTATCTTGCATACTAAACAACTGAAGACATATGAATCGTTCAAAAATGAAAGAGTTGTTGTTGTTGGCTTAGGATGTTCTGGAGTAGATGCTGCGACAGAGGCATGCACGTTTGCCGAACAGGTAACTTAAATCTGATCGTTTCTTGTAGGTATAGAGTAAAATTTTAGAACTTCACAAACTTTGAATTTAAAGAATCGAAATATGTCTGAAGGATATATGTGTAATATATTTTTAATCATTTCGTAGCTATAAATAATAAATAATAATTTAATCATTTTAGTCTCTTTCTACAAACGGGGTTTACTCATTGTAGAGACATTAGGTTATTTTTATGCGGGAGACTTGAAAAATGAACAACGCTCTCGGCGGGACTCGAGCCTGGACCTCTTGAATACGCGCCGAGTATGCTAACCGTTACACCACGAAGCCATGCTTGAAAGGCGAAGAAAATACCTTATAACATTTTTAGAATAATTTCATGGCCGTTTAATTAGTGTTTAAAACTTAAAGAATATTTTTTTAAATATTGGATCTAACAGCTTTTATGTTTGGATTATAAGTCTACATCGTGATTTTCATAACAGAAAGCTTTTCGTGAAATTTACAGGGTTATCATTTTTCATTCCTCTTTTACTACTTTCCAAAGTTCATGAATTGCGGTGGCTTTGCGTTTAGAACCAGCTCTACAGCTCTTTTCAAGAGATGAAAGACACAGTAGTCCACAGATGAAACATCAGGGTACTTCGCAGGGATGTATTGAAAATGTATACATGCATACCTGTTTCAGTCTTCATTTTTTCAAGGAACTCAGTGGTACTTTTTGAAGTACGACTTGTTGCTTTGGCTTAATGAAATTTCCCTCTTTGAAAACATTGGGATAATGAAATGGAATTTCTTATGTAAATACATGGCATGAAACTTTCTCTTGATATTATGTTGATTTTATTATTTTTTCCGCTGTTATTATTTTTAATTTCCCCTTGTAATAGAATCCCGCTACAATCATAAGCCCCTTATCGAAACTTTCTTAACAATGACGAAAACAGGTTTATACACTTTTCCTCTTCGTTTCCGATAATAAATAGACCCTTCTTTGTTGCAGCCATTTTGGTAAACCCATAGTTTATCAACGGTCACAATGCATTTCCATTTATCTTCTGTTAAATAGTTTCCATATACGGTTCCACAAATTGCTCTGTATTGTACATATCTTGACAAAACCTGGTTAACATAACATTTTTTAAAGTTTTGAATCTTGGTTTGTTATTCTATTAATTGTTGCTACAGTTGTGTTTAAAGGCTCTGAACTTGATTTCTGCGTCTCGGCAAACTTCCCCCCCCCCCGCTGCGTCGGCGACTGCGTTTGGAGTCTCCTTTGCATGTAGAAATACGGATTTTCCCCTTCCAATTAACAATGTTGCTTATTTTGCACTTAAAATTTTTATATGATTAATTTCAAAGCGTTTTTCAATTTGGAATAGGAGTATTTGTCTTCCGACAGCGCAGAAATCTATCCTTTAATACAGAGCTTGTTTACATGCGACATTTTTAAAGCCCTTCCGATTAACAATGATGCTTTTTTTTTTTTTTTTTTGTGTGTGTGTGTGTGTATGTGTGTGTGTGTGTGTGTGGTAATTTTGTGTTTATTTGTTGCAAAACTTTTCTTTAACTTATGGTAATTTTTAGTAGTTGAATATACCTCACGGTTCTGTTACTTTGTAGTATTTCTACTTCTAAGTGAATAATGTTACTGACACTGAAGTTGTGCATATAGCTTAAAGTAGGATTACAAATATGTGCTACTGAAGTTCGCCAAGTTTTTTTTTCTTTTTAGCGACAAATCTTTTCCTCTAAACTGGCAATGTTTGAAAGTGTATTTCCAATCTGTCAACATTTGGTACTTTTTAAAGCGGTAAAATTTTCAGGACCTAGGGACCGACTTTTCAGGTGGGTTCTGATGGTCGTTCCTGCCTTTCGTTGAGGTATGTGTAAAAGACCGTGAGTAACTGTCCGTGAGTTAAGAGACTAATGTAATTTTATTTTTCTTTTGCTCTGTCAGAGATTTAATACGTCTATAATTTGTCTACAACTCCGAGGTAATGGCATTCTGATCACAGTTTACATTTTTAAAACCGACTTGATTATATTCTTTCCAGATCTGATATCTTGATTTGTAAAAGCTGTTATCTCTTGAAGCTGCAATAAAATTTCGTTTATATATTCAATTCCGATTGTTATTTAGGAAAGATATACGAATCCTAAAGTAAAGCGTTACAGTAACATTTTATTTTATACCTATCTAATGCAAAAGAAGCTTACATGATAATTCCCAAACTACAAAATTAATGATGGAAGTAAATGAAAAAAATTAAAGACAATTAGTATAAAAATTGAACAAAAATAAAAATAAATTGATAATCTTTAGGATCTTTTTTAAGGAGCAAAAGAATTATCAACAGAACCTCGCTTCTGATTTATACTGGATGAATGCTGAAACCAAACTTTAAGAGGATATTGCAAATAAACCTTTTAATTTAAACATGAGTGGAATTTCAAATAAAGCATTCATCAAGATATAAACTGCTCCGATGTGGCATGCATTTTATCATATTAAAAAAAGAACCTAAGAATTAGAAATAATACTTCAAATGAAGATATAATACGAATGAAAATTTTAATATTAAATTACGCCTTATTAGTACACTATGCACAGGTATTCGGAGCAAAGTTCTGTTTCTGAAAAAAAATTCCAAAGGATTTTAAAATTTCTCGAAAGTTTTAAAATTTTATTACCTCAAATAAAAAAAAAAAATGATATTGTGATACTTTGGAAGAGGAACAGAATCTTACTGAAAATGGTCTACTTTTACATTACAAAACTACTAGTACATTACATTACTACGTGGTGCGCAAGGAATTTAAATATTCAATTAAAAAAATGCATTACAAAATGATGTATTATACTAATTTTAGAAAATCTGTTCTAAATAACAAAACGTTAATGCTAAATATCTAATAACATTAAATTGAAAGTTTAAATGCTAAATTCAAAGTAACAGTAACAATTTTTATGGAAAAAATAGGTATAGGAACTTTGAAATAGAAACTTACTCAGTCAAAATGTTAAAAAGAAATTGCACTTCCTAGTGTCGCAATGGACTAGGTGTAGATAATACCTTGAAAATAAAAACTTAACATATCACAAACAAAGACAAAAATAATAATAAATAGGTAATTTTCCATATATAATCAGACAATAAGAAAAGAAAGCAGTGGAATGTAGCAGAAATATGAACAAGACTACCTTATCAGCAAATTTGAAATGAATGCGTTAAACGTAAAAGCATGACTTGAAAAAAAGTTTAAAAACTTAAAATAGAAATGTTTTAGGTAAATTCTATGCATAATGTTTTCAAAAAAATAATTTGAAACTTTAAATAATGTGGTGAAAAATATGGGCATAGCTCCTTATGGAAATATGGGAACCCTCATTCATTTACAGTGTCTCTAGAGGATTTTTTTTTTTTTTTTGGTTAACCTTAAGGTAAGAAAAGTCTGTTTTCTGAAGTCCAGTTCGCAGAAGAATTCTGAAAACAATGTCTCGCATAGTTGTAGAGACATTAGGTACTTTTTTTGGAAGCAGGAAGATAAAAAATGAGCAACGCCCTCCCCGGGAATCGAACCACGGACCTCTGGAATACGAGACCAGTGTGCAGACCACTACACTACGAAGGCATACCAAGAAGTCGGTAGAAATACCTTATACAGTGACCGGCAGGAAATTTTCAGTTTAACCCGTTTTGTTAAAGTATTACATACCTGAATGGTAAAGCGGCGGTCCACAATACGTTAAATGAATGCACTAAGAAAAGCTTTGGTAGGTTCAAATGATATATTCTGACAGTTAAGAACCAGTCTTTAGCTAATTAGAGTTTGATAAGCGGCGGAGATGAGTTTAATAAAAGGCGCTTTTCTATTGATTAGTATGTACCTGTTTTGGTTCCTGGAAATTAGAACGTAGTTAGCGGCTGAGTTTATTAACCGGTCAGTTTAATAAGCGGCAGATACTGAATTTTAACCCTTTAAGTGCTTACTGCACATTTAGTGCATTCGAAGAAAACATTTTACATGCTGTACAAACAAAACAAACGAGCTGAATATGGAGTATAGCTTCCCATAATTTTGACACGTGCTTTGAGGTCCGGAGAATGCGCTTATTGCTGAATAAAAGCAGTAAACGTGTTCTCCCATCAGCCATGGCCCACCAGCGTCCGAGCGGTAAAGTCGCTGAATACTGGTAGTTCGGTCCGAGGTTCGAATCCCGCGAACGGGCTGACTGCATGGGCGTTTTCGTGGTTTTCCTCATGTGTAACATGTATACGAGCCAGTTTGCCTTAGAAAGTACTCCACGAAGGCATCTTTCCCCTTAGCCCTAGTGTGCTTTGCCGTAATCTCAATAAACCAAACCATACCAAACTCATCAGCCATATTCTGTTATGGAAGAGGTTTATTGTCTGCCAAAAAGAAAACATGGACTCCTTGCTGCAACATAGTTTGTGGCACATTCGAGGACTTGATTGCCGTATGTTTCTACAGTAACAATAACCCATTCTGAATATATGAAGGTCAATGGTGACATCATATCGATAGCCTGCCCTAAAGAAAATTCAGGCCGTATAGTTACATTGCCAGAATTAAAGACATGAGCTCAATGACTTTTTTGACTGTTTATCTCCTCCTTTTCCTCTTCAGGCTCTTAAAATTTTATTTTCTGATTCTAGGACAAATCTTAATTCATTCAAAAGGCTACACTGCGCTTCTACCTAAGTCGTATGCCAAATGATTACCTCACTGGTACCAGCAGATAACAACTTTCTTATTTTTGTAGTAGCTGTTGATCAGAAAGTTGGTGAAATGCTTAAGGATTGCATCTGACAAGTAATCTAATGTGCTGGTCTCAATGCTTCAATCCTGCAATCCTAGATAGAACTGATCCATGGATAACCACATGTTAGAATTATTCCTATAAAAGAATAATGACAGATAGTTCGCAAAATAAAGACCAGATTTTAATGGATTCTCCTGTTTCAAACTCTTAACAGCTGACCTTCGCTGAAGATATTCGAAACACATTATGGAAGTCTTAACAAAACTATTTTAATTTAAAATCAACGACAACATTCTTCAAAACGTTCGCTTGAGCATGTTTTTAAATTTTTTAATAAAAAATATTTTTAAATAAAAAAGTCAAGTAAGGGACTTTTAGCAAAGAAAACAGTTTGATTTAGTTCGAGATGGAAATCGCTTTTGAGTTAAGTTATTCCAATATTTGGAATATTGCCGACATTTGTTATGTTAACATTTGTTATCTCCAAGAAAACAGATAGTAGGAATCATCCCAATTAAATATATAGTGGATGCAAATTTGAATCGCATTCAACTTTTGCGAGACAGCGCAGAATATGCTTAATATTTTCACTGAAAATGATCAAGTTATTACGTCCCCAGCTAAACATAGATAAAATATGATATTATTTTCGCCTCAAATACAGTTTTCTTTTGTATTATTTTAAAATAAATTTATTTATTTATTGTTAATATATGACCAAATTAAATAAATAAAAAGACATTAAAACAAAAATCCTTCCCATTCATTTGATCTAATCACACTATGATAATATTAAAAGTTTTGTTTTTAGAAATTGAAATTTATTTATGTACCGTAATAATAATTGTAAAAATGTTTTGCTGGACAAACTAGAGAATATTTCAGCATTTTCAATACATTTTGCTTGTTCAGTGAAAAAATTAAAATTCTCTTACGGATAAAGGCATTAGAATAATGTAGATTAGTAAGTTACATTTATTATATATGCATCTAACATTTCTTACACCAGCAGTCTAATTTTCATTTAGTAGTATAAAAAGCTTCGAAATCCATCAGTTTTTATGATAATTCCTGCTTACCTACCTTTTACTTTTTTTTGAAAATGAAGACACAAAATTTTAAATATTCTTCAGTGTGACAGCATTGTATTTTTGTCATTTTGGACAATACTGTAACCCGCCTTTTTTTTTTTTTTTTTTTTTTTTTTTTTTTTTTTTTTTCAGGTTTATCTCAGCTCTGGCAGCGGCGGATGGATTCTTCCAAGATTAGGTCCCTATGGCCTTCCTTTTGACATGTGTTACCTCAGACGTTGGTCAGATTTTATTATGAGACTCATACCTATTTCTTGGACTAGTTGGTATTTTGAGGGTATATTACAGAGATTGAAATTCAACCATTCCCTATACGGTCTTCGACCTCCGCATTCTATATTCGCTCAAGATCCTGTCTTGAGTGATGCTTTGCCCACTAAAATCATATCTGGCCATGTTATCGTTAAGAATAATATTAAAACTTTCACTGAGAATGGTGTAATTTTTGAAGGTGAAACGAAGGTCACGGAAGCAGACACTGTTATAATGGCAACAGGCTATGAATGGAAATTCCCTGTCCTCCAAGAAGGAATAATCACAAAAGATGGAGACTGTCTTAATCTGTACAAATGCATGTTCCCAGTACAATTACCTCATCCAACATTAGCAATTATCGGATTTATATTGCCTTTAGGTCCTGGATATCCTTTAGGTGAAGCACAATGTAGATGGGCATCCCTTTTAATCAGTGGAAAAGTAAAACTTCCCAGCCCAAAGGAAATGATGGCTGATGTAAGAAATACTTATGAAATGAATCGCAAAAGATATAAAATATCCGACAGATTAACAACCAGGGTTGATTATATAGAATATTTGGATGACTTAACATCTAAGTTTGGAGCAAAGCCAAATTTACTAAAAATATTTTTCACAGATCAAGAACTATTTTGGGCGTTATGGCTAGGGCCCTCATTGCCCTACCAGTATAGATTACAAGGTCCACATAAGTGGCCTGGAGCTCGGAAAGCTATACTTACCTATAAAGAACGAATACAAGCTCCTCTTAGAAAAGAAGGATACAATAAGACTAAGCGAAAATTTCAGGGTTTCCCTATCAAACTTGCATTAGCTTTCATTGTCTTCTGGTTCTGGATAACTACACTAGCAGAAATTAGTTACGCTTAATCTAAGCCCAAAATAATGAAAGATTTTTTTTATTTGTTTAATGGTTTTAAAAAAGAAATTTTTTGCTAATATTGTAAAGGAAATCATAAATTAAATTTATATAAAAATCAGTTAAAAACATCTGTACGTAGTTTCTGATCATAAACACTTTTTTTTTTTTTTTTTTAAATTTTAACGTGCAGAACTGTGGTGCACTGGCTGCTGGTGTACATGTGTTTTATGCGTACATTACGGGGGTTAAGCCAGCCCTGAATTTAGGGGTTCCCATTTGTTGAAATGAAATTTCTCCAAAACAGGACAATTTTTTTACGTAATAAAATACCTGATTTAAATTCAAACCTTCGTTAAAAAATCAAAATTTCTATTTAAATTTTAAATCATAGTTAATTGACTAAATTTAGTTTAATTAATAGGAATTTTTTAAATTTTATATTTTAATGCATTGCCATATACAGAGTTAATCTCTCTTTAAATGAGTGTTTCCGTTACTACATCATTTGAACTAATACCCTGATGTTCCCATTCTGAAGGTTTAGAAACTATCCTGCGAAGGCAACCCTTCCCTTAGGCAGATAACTCTCAAGGTTTTGCTGTAACCACACAAACCAAAACCAAACCTATTCTGAAGAAAGGTTATAAGCATTAACACATTTTACGATTTTACCACCGTATAATTTTTATTTGCAATAATATTTTAAGAATATTCACATTTTAAACATTTTATTAAAAATATTGAAGGAAATTTCGAGTAAATTGGGAAAGCTATAATTTTCCGAAACTTTAAACTTATTATTTTAACTTACAACCTATTATTAATTTCTTATACAGAAATAAAGGAATGATGAATAAAAATTGTACTATTAATTACGTATTACTTTTATTTTATTGTTTCATACAATTAATGAGATCAAACTCCTTGTTCAAAAAGTACAAAAGGTATTAATATAAATAATTTCATATGAAAGTATATACCTATATGAGTTAAAATAAACAAACAAAATCAATGATAGTCTCTTTTCCTTTAAGCTGCTTTTTTTTAAAGATTCTCAGAATTTAAGGTAAAATTATTACTGGCAAAAATACTATTTGGATAAAGAGTTAGAATGATTTATTTCAAATAAAAAGAATGTATAAAAAGAAGTCTTTGGTTTGTGTATCATTAACGTCAGCTAGCAAAGCTCCACCAGATCTATCACTACCGAATAACTTCAGATTTATTAATTCATAAGCGCTATATTATTACTAACAGTCAGACATTGTTTAACTCAGAAAACAATAACAATATTTTTCTTATCATTTTCTTTTTGTTTTCGTAAAAATTCCTACATTGCTTTGTTGCCCTGTGAAATAAACGAGTAAAATATATTATTTTCAAAATTATAATAGTAAAGCTGACTTTCTGCATTGATGAAAACTCAATCCTAAAATGTTAAGTAATTATGACTAAACAATTAACTGTACAGCGTTCAAGGAAGGAAGTATGAGGTAAAAAATGCAAAAATTTTGTTTCCCTCGGAGAGAAGAGAAGTCGGAATAATTCAATTAACCGAAGAGTTTTCTGAACTACAGCGACTGATGACTGTATTTCTTGGCTCCACGAGTGGCTGAGTGGTTAAGGCAACTGAATATTCGTAGTTCGACCTGGTTTGAACTGGCTGGCTGCATGGTTGATTTTCGTGGTTTTCCCCATGTGTAACTTGAATGCAAGCCTTTTTCATTCAAAGCGTCTTCCATAAATACATCCCTCTTCTTAGGCAGACAGCCCTTGCGGCGGCTTTGTTATATTCAAATAATCTAACCTAGTGTAACTATATCTCTAATAAATAATAGCAGAGCGCTTTGATTTACATATAACTTCATGTGCAACCGTGCATATTTTTAAAACTAAGCAACAGAGCAACCATACACACATGTATACATTCTATATGAAGAAAATTCTGGAAAACTCATGCAGTCAAACCTTTCAGTCGACGAGAATAGAAATGGAGCCGAACTACCACAGTTTCACGGCTTTAGCCGTTGAACCATTGATCAGCTTAAAGAAGAGAGATCCGAATCCCATCTGCATCCATCATTTGTTCAAGATTAATGCTAATCTGTGATTGTAAATTACTAACTTAATGAATGAAATTTAGTATGCAGTTCAAAAAAGAAATTATTGTATGATAACAAAAAGAAGAGAGACCGTTTTGTTGTCATTCGTATTCTTTCGAAATGTGTACAAAATTTCTTTAAAGTGAATTCGACTCTTACATAGAAATTTGAAGAGTTTAAAGCTGATGTGTTCACTGCATTTGCTATTTGCTAATACATTTTAAAAGTTACCCATGACTTACGAAGGCCAGAACTGACAGAATATTACGTGTGAGATAATGTTACGGTGCCAATATTTAGTACAAATTCCGACGCAAATTATACGCGAAATGTTTTTTGAGATTTTAGCAACTTTAAAAAATTTCTTTCTTACACAGACGAATGCGAGTGATATTTTAGCTATACTTCGGATTTTGAAGATTTTATTGGTTAAGCCTCAAAAAGGCATTGAATTGAATATTATTACTTCATATTGTTAAATTTAGTAAAAAAAAGTCTGTAACGTGAGAATAGATGCCTGAATGAATTTCAAGAAATTACACTTATTTAATATATATATATTATATATATATCAGATGAAAGTTAAGAAAAAGATAAATATTTTAGAAATTTGATTACAAAAAAATTTAGAAGGCTAAAATAAATGAAACTTGCATTGTTTACTTAACCCTGCGTTATGCGCGCTGCGTAGACACCTGCCACCCATACGCTTAATCTACAGTTAATCGTAAAGTAACAAAATTTTTGTACGTTTATTATGTTTATTGATATAATTGATGGTTTAATACAGCAAAAAGTAACTAGCCAAATATTATGCTATAATATGATTCCCTTTTCACTTCTAAAGTATTCTTTTAATTGGTGAGTGATCAAACTAAATTTCCTAATGCTTAATTTTTAAGATAACTACAGAAGAGCGAGAGGTTTGAGACCCCTAAGAATTATGAAAGCGATTATATTTTCGCTGACCCTAAAGGTAGTGGACTAGAAAAAAAAGATATCTTTTCTTTTTTTCTCTAAAGATCGGGAATGAAACCCTTGCTAATCAATCGAACTCGTGCTAAAATTAAAATAATTCTCTGATTTACGCCAAACTTTAAAAACAGTTTCTGATGATAGATATGCATATGTACATTAATAATTTTTATGTATTAGAAGCTTTTTAAATTGTTATATTTTTGACATAATGCGATGATGAAGGAGTGCCCAGGACACACCCCTTCTAGCTACGCGTCTGCATGATAACACTTATCAAACTCTGAAGTACATTAAATTTTTTAAATGTAGGAAAGTTACGTTAAGTGATAATATGGAAAATGTTTTGTGTAATTTTATGTATAGGAAAATGTCGTTCTTTTAAACTGAGCATGCTTTCAAAATGTATGTTGTTAGAAATTGTTTGTAATTTTTAAAAGTTCAAAGACCTCAGAAAGTACAAGTTTCTAGTTATATTTTAAGAATATACCTGGTACATTTTGTGTGTGTGTGTGTTTTGTGTTTGTATTCTGTTATAAGTACTTTTTCCCTTTTTACGTAAAGGATTTTTCTTTCTTCACATTAAGTTTGTCAACTATCAAGCACCTCTGCTTTTGTGCCATAATTAAAGGTTACGCTTGATGAAAATGCATTTTCCGCAGTCGTGACTAAAATATGCTAATTCAATATCATAATTATTGTAATTACTATTTATGTTATTCTATTCTTAGTTAATCCGTTTATGCTTTATTAACAAAGAAAAAATGTGAAACCTCAATTCTTTTGACTGTGTTTTGCCATACATTATTTTCATATGAATGTTTAGAAAAATTGTTTTGGAATAAAATTTGTTATTTCAATTGGTAGAACTTAGCTCATTCTCATATCAATATTGCACCAAGTAACGGGTGAGGTTGTAGAGACATTACGTATTTTTTGGAAGCAGGCAAGATGAAAAATTAGCAACGCCTTCGCCGGGAATCGAACCACGGACCTCTGGAATACGCGCGCTGCGTGCAGACCACCACAGCACGAAGGCATGCTAAGAAAGCGGGAGAAATACCTTATAAGGTCAATGTTCAAATTAAGCGTTGATTTTAATACTGTACTAAATTATTAATAAATGTTTTTAAACTTAAATAAAAGGCGATAGAAAAGCAACGAAGCAAATTTTAGGACAATTGCGAATATTTTAAATGCATAAATTAAGAGTAAAGAGTTTTATCAAAATTACGTGAGTGCTCTTAGTAGCGCACCAGGTCTTCTGGTCCGCTTGTGCGGTGCGTCGGCGTTTGCAGCTGCGTGAAGTATCAGCACGGCGACCATTACTTCGGCTTCTCTTGACATTGCAAGCATAGAGAGACGACGACTCTGGTGCGCCAAACGACAAAGCTGGATACGGGGGTGGGGCACAACGAGTTTCAGGCAAGCCCCGGTTCTGTGTGCTGCAGTATTCTGATGTCCGTATACGTATACGTCCAGGCCGTATACGTGTCTGGAGGCTCCGAGGAGACTGCGCGTCGCCTGCTTGTATTCGATATCGGCATAAGGACTCTGCACCTAGTGTGATGGCTTGGGCAGTATTGGATACACGACACGCACATCTCTAGTTCCGATGGACGCTAATTTGAACTCAGATCGGTACATATCTGACATCTTACGTTCAGTGGCTATGACTCATCTTCGACTTAGCAAACACCATCTTTCAGCAAGATAATGCAAGACCACATGTTTCCTCGGTTAGAAACAGTAAAGAACAGATTATTTTCATTGAAAATAAAAATGTTTTGTTTTTACGATTTTTTTAAAAGCTCTAGATAGGCCACTGCTGAGTAGAAGAGTTTTATTTTAATTAATTATTTTAATCTGAGTCTTATAATAAGAAAACATTTTTCCGAGCATTAAATGAAGCATCATCATTCGGTATTAACTTATAACGAATTTAAACCAATATCAGTAAAAATTAAGAAAAGTTCTAAAAATTAAAATTAAAAACAAAAATTGAAATATTCAACGAACTAAATGGGTTTCTTAGAAGTCCATCATTTTCTTTCATCATTTTCTCGAAACCAGGTTTTTTCTTTTTTTAACAGTGAACAAGTAGTTTTCAGTACCAAGACTTTCAAAATGTCTAAAAGTATTTTACTTACTTTTAAATAACAACGTGTTCTTTGTATTGCGTGAGCAAAGTAAGCTTTACTTTCTGCATATCTTGCTGAAAGCAGGATTTAAATACTTTATTCTCTGTAGTTCTGCCATAGCATAACGAATATCTGCGGTTATCGAGAAAATAACCTAATAATAAAGTGTTTAGGACTTTTTCACTTAAGAAGATTTAAGAAAATGACTAGCATTCAATAAACCTTATGCGTTTACCAAAAAAAGTGTCATAAATAATATTTTATCAAGAAAAGTTCTTAACTGGTAAGTTACTTGTAATGAAACTAATTTTAACTGGTAAGTTACTTGTAATGAAACTAATTTTAACTGCTAAAAAATTAAATTTCATACGTCACAAACAAACTTTTTTCTGATATATATTTCAGCTGTCTTTCTTTCAACCTTGAGAACAATTTTCTTGCAACTACTTACAACAGAATATGGAAGTTCTAACAGCATGTTGAAACTGTAAATTGTGCCTGCAATAATAAATAATTCTAATTGATCAGGAATAATCTCGTTTCTGGTGAACAAAGATCATTTCGCTTTTGGCAGTTTGGTACCTACGACCTGTCGGTATTACTTGCAAGGTGAATGAGTATAGTTTAAATCCAAATAATGCAGACAAACTGTAACACGTTTAGTGACCGCGCTGTTTAAACCGTACAGATACTCCATTAGGAATGCTTCGAGTACACTCCATTTACATCACTGCCTGAGCCGCATAGACGGGAAGGTGGTTAGTGACTTACTTACTTACCACCAGCTGAGTTGCTGTATCGCCTGTTATATGATTATCAGCATTTGTACTCAACTGGTGCAGCATTCTGTTATCGCTAAGCCTAGCCAAAAATATTTATAGAATATTAAAATTTAATTAAAAATCAAATAAATTTGTTGCTGAGTTTATAAAGTTGCTTCGGAAGGTAGGTATTTGTAACCTGTGGTTATTAGAGACTCTGTCAAGACTGACAGAGTCTCTAATAACCACAGCGCTGAATATTTTTAACTGTGCTGAATTTTTTTTTTTTTTTTTTTTTTTTTTTTTTTTAAGATTTTGCAGTTCATTGCCAGTAGTCTATAAGTTTAAGCTTGTTTCGTAGACTGACGCTTTTGGAGTTGTTCAGCCATACCTGGCCTTTCAGCTTGTAGGTCCTGAATGTAGGTCTTGGTGATTTCATTCCTCGCACATATAGTACGTGGTAACCTGTTGAGCCGCTATGCATTGTTTGTGTGGTGGCATCGAAGCGAAACAGATAGGCGAAGGGCATGCCTTCAGGAATGTGTCATTGCTCTGCCTGTAGTGGTTAATTCTCTTGAAGGACAGACCGGGAGGAAATTAAATGTCCTCCTGCCTGTTAGTTCTAGTGGTCAGTGACTCTGACTAACCACCAAAGAGCCCGGATTCCAATCCCGGAGAAGACCATGGATGTAAATTGTCTGTCCCTTCGGAAACAGTGGCCGCCTATTACGTGCGTTCATCATAAAATAACAACCGCTTCTGGTTTTAGTAGCGGCAAAAGCCTAAAATGGTTAGTGCCCGCCATAAAAAAAAAAAAAAAAAAAAAATCACTGCTTGAGAGTAATCTTTGAAACAATAAGGCAGGCAGACTCCAAAATGCTTTGTCGCAAAAACAGCCTACTTTATCTTTGATCCAAATGAGTAATCTGCAAGAATCGCGAGATTTACAAGACTGCCGACGCGATTAATTTTTTCAGAGAATTAAGCAACAAAATACATAACCATTTCTCTGCGAAACAGAAAAATAAATAATAATAATTAAGCAGCTCAATTTACACTTAATTTCTCAGGTTTTAACTCATTTATTTTATTTTATTTAGTTATTCCCCAGTTTTAATTAGTGACGCCAATAACTGCTTTAAGTAACAAATAGTCAAATCCATATCTTTCCGCTTCAATAGAAACCGAAAACCTTTTTCTGCTAATAAGTACGACACAGTAATAACGAAATTTCTTGTGTTTTTATTCTCGCTTCCTCTTTGAAATGAACATAATAAAAGAACTATAAAAATCAACGTAGTCCTACCTTTGTTCTCGAAGATCTATTGAAAATGTAAGAAAAAATTTCTGTTTTGGGCCCAGGCTCCCAAAGCAATGAACTGCTTTTTTTTAATGATGTAAGAAGCGAATTCATATCGGCATGAAGCGGTATCTTCTTTTCTAAAAACAAACGTGTGAACTTCTTTCCTAATCATTCATATACGCGTGAAAATTAACCCATCCGTGTTTGCGAGATTAAGGAATTCTTTCTTCCCAAACACGTGCCATACTTGTCAGTCATAAATTTCTAATGCGAGCTCGTTCGTTTCTGCCCATTGTGGTGCGGAACTGGAATGAGAGTTGAATTCATTCACAACCATTAAAGGGTTTATATAAAATTTAGCACTCTTTAAACTGCCTGAAACAGAAACTTTATGGCTTTAAAAATGCAATTTATATCTTAATAAGACTTAGATTTTTTAAAACAGTTTCATATTTAATGATTATAATTCTGTTTTTATTCTACAGGATTTTACGAAATTATTTATTCCTCCCCCCATATGAAAATATTGTCTATTAACATCATACTCTATGGGTGTGTGTGATTATGGCAAAGCCTCTAGGGCTATCTGCCTAATCGGAGGGATGCCTTCGTGGAGGACTTCCTAAGAGAAACTGGCTCGTATACACGTTACACGTGGGGAAAACCACGAAAACGCCAGCCCGTTCGCGGGTTCGAACCTCGAACCGAACTACGAGTGTTCAGCGACTTTACCGCTCGGCCGCTGGTGGGCCTCATACTCTATGGAAAGAGAAAGTAATGCCTCCTCTTTCGATTATTATTTCTGCTTCTGAAAAATTTTACTAAGCTAAGAATCTGATTCTATTTCCATCGCTGCTCTGAGCTTGTCTTCATGGCTCTCCAGATTATTGCTAACAAAATTTTAATTTCAGGATCAGATTAAGGCAGTACGTAGCCCTAGGTGTTGCTTCTTTTCAGGAGCTCTCACCGCACCATTTTCTTACTTTTATGAGGTAAAAACAGTGTTAGAAGGAACTAGAGGATGATTAACCCATCAAAATCATGTGCGACCGAAACCTAGCAGTACGAAAATGCTGCTGCAGCATGAACACAAATTTGGGATTTATTGGCTTATAGCAAAGGACAATAAGGCTGTTTGCCTAAGGGAAGAAATGTCTCCGCGGATGATTTTCTATGGGAAACTGGCTTATATTGATATTACACTTAGGGAACAAAACGAAAATGAATGTTCCTACAGCCAGTTGCACATAGTTTAATTGATCCCAGTTGATCGGACAGACGACTTTTGTTCACTTTTAATGGAATGGTTAATGCTTTGGTGGATAGCTTGAAAACAAGTTTTCTCCACTTTGCGGAAACATGGACTTAAATTTCGGCGATTCAATGGGCAACATATATACCCGCATTGCGAAAAACTCATCACCGAAATACAGTCCATTTTCCTAATCCGTATGAAGGCAAGCATACATGAGCATGGTACAGAAATCATTAATGAAGAGAATAAACAGAATTGTGCACAATATAGAGCCTTTAAAATAATTAGAATAGTTAGATTTTGAATCAGAATGAAATTTGTTTCTTTCAACAGCCCTCCATTCGCATGATTTTCCATATAATTAACTACATGGCTGAGGTAAGAAAAGCCCACATGTGTGAGTTTT